CCCACTGCCCCATTCCTAAGCCACGTCCACATTTTTAGGAACACGTTATAGCTAAACCCCACTTCCAATATCCAAATATCTGTATTACTCTTCTATTGTTGCCAAAGCAGATGAACACAAATTTAGTGGCTTAAAACAATGCAAACTTAATATCTTACAGTTATGTCAGTTAGAAGTCTGACAAGGGCCTCTCTGGGCTAGAATGAAGGTTTCAGTAGGCCTTCATTCCTTCCTGGAGGCTGTCAAGGAGAATTTATTTCCTTAAGTTTTCCAGCTTCTACAAATCATCCGTATTCTTTGTTCCTTTCTTTTATCATCAAAGCCAGAAATATTACAATTCTCTGTGAGTATCTTCATAGTCACTCTTTCCTCTCTCTACAGCCATAAACAGCTCTCCAATTTTTAAGGCCCATTTGATTGTATTGGTTGATCCAGATATCGAGGATAATCTCCCCTTTCAAGGTCCCTACCTTAATTATGTCAGTAAAATCTCTTTTGCTAAGGAAGATAACACCTTACAGGTTCCAGAGATTAGGATATGGATATCTTTGAAGAGCCACAATATTATTATCACTTATTATTAGGAATAATAATAATGAAACTCTGGCATTAAAAAACTCATTTTTAATATCAAAAGCAAGTAAAATCTTATGCACTCTTACCTCTTTTCCTCTTGAGTTTTCCCACAGTAGAGTTGTTTCCAAGATCCACAGAATCTAGAAAATAACAGGGGTGATGAGAAAACAGAAACTAATAAGTAAAAGTTACAAATCCTAGGGTGATGACTCACACTGCAGAAGGCTTGAGTTAATAAAGTTGTTTGGATTATCGTCCCTTTCTTCCTTCTAAAGGAACTAAAACTCTAGTGAATTGAGAATTAGGAGTAGAGAATAGACCCTTGGTCTACCTTTTCTTCACTCAATGGGACTTTAGAAAACACTCTTTAATACCTACATACTTCAAATTACTCATGGGTAGGAACAGGTATCCTATCCTGTTTAGATCTTAAAATTTTTGTGAGGATTAANGGAGTCCACCATTTTTCAGCAGACACAAGAAAACAGGCTGACCCCAGCTTCTGTGCATCCCAGGCAGAACCCCTCTGGACATCAAAGACTGGACACAATGAATGGATCTAGGAACTATGACGCTTACACCTGGCAACAGACCCACATTGGAGGCACTGCCCACCTTCCCCCTGGCGATGTATGTCCCATTAGGGGACCTCAACAACTGTAAGTGCTTCTCTCCCTCAGTCACCATATGTGCCGTTCAGAATGCACTCTCAGGTGACAGCCAGGCTTTCACTTGTGTCCTCATGCAAATATAATGAACTACACATTAGGTGTGGTCATAGAGATCTAAAGCATTATGGTTTGTGAAATTTGTTAACTGCTACAGGAAACAAGTCAAATGGATGTGGTTCCAGCCCCCACTGGTCAGATTAATCATAGTGGCTGGTGGAGTGGTGTCCTCATGGGGAAATTGCCAGAATGTGCTGTGTGAGGTGATTCTTTGGGGAGGCAATTCTCCATGGCATTCCACATGCCACAGAGTATCTTTCCAAGGATGTTTGAATAGCAAACTGTCTTGGAAGCTGGAGATAATATAGCCCTCCAGGTCAGAGGGCACGTTTGTTTTCTGACCAGCATAAAATAGAGAACGTCTCCCTCCTTAGAAATATTCCAGGAAAGAAAGCCTTCCCCCTTTCTTCAGAGGAGATTAGCTAAAGTTCCAGGTAGTAAGATAATGTCTCCCCCAGGGTGAGGTTTGAGCAGGCTTCTAACAGCCCCCTTCTAAGACTGGGGGTTTCTGACAGATAGGAACAGTTTCTGAAGCATCTTAGTTCTCAGCTCGGCACAGCCTGTGTGTGCCCCATCACCCCCACATGGGATCAGGGGACAAGGGCTGGTACACCTAGCCCATATCCCAGCAATTTCATTTCTAGGATTCATACAAGAGATATGAAAGCCTGGAGCCACAGAACGCCTTCTACAAGAATGTTCTTTGCAGCTTTTTTGCCCAATACGAAGCCAACAACTGGAAACACTTGTGTCCATAATAGGAGATTATATGCACAATGTTTGGTATATTCATATAATGTGCACTACTTTGCAATAAAAAAATCAAGCTACTGATACATGCAACAACATGGATAAAACTCCAAAGCATTATGCTGACTGAAAGAAACTTGACAATAAAATAGTTTTAACACGAGCCAAATTAGGTTCTCCTGAAAGAAATAGAAATACAAATTGCCTTTGATGAGCGAGGGGTAAGGATACACCAGAAAGGTCATAAGGGCCCTTTCTAGGGTGATGGTCATATTCTGTATTTTGATAGTATTTGGATTATGCAGGACAATGCATTCATCAGAAGTCATCAAGTGATACACTTAGTATTTGTATATTTCATTCAATATATACTCACAGGATGTGGAGCACAGCTTAAGGAATAGAGTCAATGGAATTGTAACAGCTATATATGATATCAGAGGGGTAGTAGATTGGGGATGGGGTTATTGCTTTGTGAGGGGTGAAATGTCTATTACATTGTTTAGTACACCTCAAATAAATAAATAAATAAAAATAAAAAGTAGACTTGTTTTGGTAATAAATTGTTTGTATACTTCATCGTAAATTTTCTCTCAAAAGAAAACATTTCACAGTTTAGTTGGCAAATGTTAAATACTTATAACGCCTTGTGCATGATATACTAATTTAAAGTAAGGGAAATGTAACAATATGAATAGATTTATTTAGATATACAATTAATTCTAAATGTGTTAATACATGCCTAGAAAAAAACTGGTAAGCTATACATCAAAATTTACAAAAATCATATATATTATAATTAAAAAACAACATAA